TCCCCCTGCCAGCGTTCAGGTGATATCCCTCTGCCCCACCCCCAGGGCCCAGGACATCCCCCCCGAGGTGCTCCGCCAGCGTGAAGTCAAGTGGCTGGACATGCTGAACCACTGGGACACATGGATGCAGAAGAGGAACAAGAAGGTGGGTAAGCTGCCTAAGGAAAGAGTCAGTATTGAACTTTTGCAATGATGTGCTCAGTGTCGGTATTCCATTTCAGGTTATTGCTAATATATGTTCCCAGGAATTTAAAGGAGTCAGTAGTGGTGATGGGGGTGGGGGGGTATTTTGGGTTATGGTATGCATCAAGAGTCACTGATGAATTTCTGTGTTTTGGCTGTATTGAGTGCCATACTGGGCTTCATCATTGTTAGAGATGAGACCAGCAATGGTTGTATCATCTGCATACAGTGGTACCTTGGAATATGAACTTAATTTGTTCCAGAAGGCTGGTCGCGTTGCAATTTGGTCAAGGTCCAAGTTGAATTTCCCCATAAGAAATAATGTAAATGAACTGTATCTGTTCCAGACCCCCAAATGATTGCCTATTTAAACTTCTCTACCTGTGTAACTAATGATAAAAAGCATTAGCAATCAGTATAAAACTAGTACGCACATAAAAAAAGCACACTTACAAAAGCAATAAACGTTAAATAAATGACAATCCCATACTCCAAAGCAAAAGCTGACACACGTACACCTCGCTATAATTTCCTTTTTAAGTTCTATAGTTACTCTCACCAAATGTTCTGTAGATAAAGCACAAAAAATTACACTGAACACAGTAATGCAGCTTTCACACGTTGGACTTGGTTGAGAGGTTCCGCGAGACTCAGAGCAATTCATAGGTATCAGCATCCTAGTAGGGCCACTAGCCTTTGTTTCTGCCCATCAGAGATGTGTCTCCATCCGTAGAAGTTTTAGCAGGTCTGTTTTGTTTTGTTGTCTTCCGAGTTTTTGGCCGAATTGCGGTTAGATTTTTGTTGACCGACCTGTTCAAGGTCCGAATTGGCAGAGTTGAACACGTCTCGACCCATACAAGTTTTAGCAGGAATGGTCAAAGATTTCGGTCAAAGGTACCAGTCTGAAAAAATTCAACAGACCCATTTGATATCCGAGTTGGTCGAGTTAAGAGGCGTTCGAATTCCAAGGTTCCACTGTATTTTATTATTTTCACAGAATTGTCCGTGGAGATAAAGTCTGTGGTATAAAGTAAATAGAGCCAGGGGTAAATAACACAGCTGTACTGAGGGGTAGAGGGCATGAGGGTTAGGTTATGTACCTTCGCCCTCTGTGGCCTGTTCTGCAGGAAGCTGCCAATCCAATGATTGGATCCAATGTCAGGGTCATTGTTCATATCCAAGAGGACTGTAAAGAGTTTTAATGGTTCGATAGAATTAAAAGCTGAACTAAGGTTTATGAACAGAATGCATGTGTGGGTGTTTGGTGATTCCAAAGGCATGGTGGATCGCTATGCTGATTGCATCCTCAGCAATCCAGTTGGCTTGGTAGGCAAACTGATATGGGTCCATCAGGTGGGAGGTGCAGGATTTCAGGTATGACACAATGGTGTGCTCAAAAGCCTTCATGGTCACAGAAGTAAGGGCAACTGGTCTGAAGTCATGGAGGCAGGTGATCTTTGTGGACTTTGGCACAGGAATGATGGTAAAGAGTTCACAGCACTGTGGGACTGTACATTAGCTTAGAGGGGTGATGGGAGCCAGTCGAACTGCACAGAGGCTCAACCAGGCAGGGCTCATCCCTTCTGGCCTTGCCGCCTTCCTGATGTTCAGCTTCTTGAATGTAGCTCTTGCGTCATCTTTCCACATACGGAAGGGTGGCATTGGAGTGGGAGTAGGGCAACCCGATCTCACGAATTTTCGTGCAGCCATCACGACATAAAATCTATTTAAACGTGCTGTGATCACGTTTTCGGC